AGACATCAAAAGTGTAGTTTGTGGGATTCCAATAACTTATCAGTAGGATTCCAAGTATAACTTTCCAGAATTAGTGGTGGATAGGAAAAGGGATTATAATATTTGGATTACAATAGTTTAAGGGAATACAGTATACACTGTTTGAATAACAATATATAAACACAAAAATATTTCTCCAGTACCATTCCAAAAGCAGAGGAAATTTTTACAGAAATCAACAATACTGCACCAAATTAAGTAGCTTCTACATAGCAAAGGAAATCATCAGGATGCTGAGAATATAGCTCAGTGGCACAGCACCTACCTGGCAAGCATGAGATCCTAGTTTGATTCCCAGTTTCAAAAAAATGATCAAAGGAAACAATCAAATATAGAGATAACAACGCAGTAGTAAAAAAAATCCTTGATAGCTACAGAGGATTACTAGAATATACAAAGGACTCAGAAATCATAACACCAGAAGCAGAACCAAATCAGTAAATGGTCAAATGAATGTAGCAAATACTTTTGAAAAGGGAAGTCCAAATAGACAATAAGTGTTCAATATCTAAGGAAAGTACAAATCAAAACTTCACTGAGATGCCATCTCAACACAGTTTAAATGGCTAATGTTAAAATAAGTAGATGACACTGATGAAGATGTGGAGAAAAAGCAACTTTTATACACTGTTGGTAGGAGAATAAATATGGAGAATAATGGGAAGTTCCTCAAGAAACTAATACTAATACTACTATGTCATCCAACTCTACCATTTATGGCAGTCATCTTTTCTTCACTGAAAAAAACACTTGAGAAAAACAACATAGAGGAAAAAAGATTTTGGCTCATGGTTTCAAAAGTGTCAGTTTAATGGTCACTGACTATTGCTTTTATTACTGTGCTGGCACAGAAATATCATAGTCAATGTGCATGGTGGAGAAAAACTTGTCAAGCAAATGGCATCCAGAAAGCAGAGGGTGAGATATGGACAAGATAAAGCCCTCCAGGCACTCCCCAAAGGACCTTTCAACCAGAGCCACCTCCTAAGTGTCCATCACTTTCCAATAGCCTATCAAAGTGTAAACTTATCAGTGGATTTTCCACTGATGATTTATGGCCCTAATGATCAAATCACTTTCCAAAATTGCTGCCTCTGAACAGCTCTTGCATCAGCTGTATGCTGAATCAACATTAAGTCAACATTTGTCGGCAGTGCTTAGCAGAGCTCATTTCATTTTGTAAGCTGCTCTTATAGCATCAGTAAAACATTCCATCACAGAAATTTTAAACACACACAGGTAATATTACAGCAGTATAATGCACTTCCACATACTCGACTTCCCAATGATTGCCAAGTCGGGGCAAATTTACTTCCACCAGTGGCACTGTGAATACTGGCATCACATAGTTCTCTGCTCGGTGGCCTCTCCTGGGCCTTGTAGGATATCCCACAGCATCACCAGCCTTTACTTACTTAGCAATAATCACACGGTCCCTCTCAGGCCAGGCTGGACAAGTGAACATTCCTCAGAGGTTGCCAAGTTTCCTCTGTAAACAAGGTTATCCTACATGGGAACAACTGGATCCTCCTCCATTAACCCAAGGGTGGTTAACTTTCCTAATCCCTGAGGTCTGTAATCCTTGGTTGGGCCCACCCATTAGAGCAATGTCATTTTATTTACAGCTACAAGATTCAGATAAGATATCCCTTCTCTGTGAACAGCCCCACAAGAGAAGGAGCTCTGTGAATGCTGGGAGAATCGAATTTGTTCCCATGTTTGTGGGTTTCTGAAGCCATTTCCTAGGAGCACTTAGAAATTCTGCTTTCCTTAGAGCTTCTGCCAGGTTAGGGAGAGAAAGAGCTCCCTGGGGCCCTACCTCCCCCTGGGCAGGATTTATCCCTGGTGTTGTAAACCCTGTGAACAGGAGTCTGCACTGCCTGAGTTCCCAGATCTTCATGGAACACCTGCGAACCAGGGCTCCTCTGCTGTCCTTTTAAAATCAGGAGGGCAGAGATAACAGTGCTACAGCTGTGAGTCCCAAGGCCAAGGCAGGAGGAGAAGAGCCTGCACCTACAGGGTCAGCAGAGCAGGAGCTCCAGTTGCCTATGGGCCTTGTGCTTTCTTCTCATCATTCCCTTGGAGTCTTCAGGGCTAGCTGATCTCAGGTCTTATCTGCACTTCTGTGTTCAGAAAAGAATGCACCCCTATTCTGAGAACAGCAGAGTCACAGAAACACTGCTGTGAGTTGTCTTTTGTCACCATGGCTTTTTCTGCATGAGATGATTAATTCTACCTTGAAGCAGAGGGAACAGAGCTGTGACCCACAGGGAACTTTGCAAGTGCTCTTGCATGGCTCTGGGCTCAGAGGTGAGCACAAGACCAGGGCCTGGGACTGAGGGATGGCAAAGGTGTGATAGCAGACCCTGGGCAACATTATTCCTTCCATATGTACTGAGCGCTTTGTGCTAAATTTCGTGAGGTGCACAGCCCCTTCCATCTGTCCTGCTAAAGTGTCTGAATGCTGATTCCCTGCAATGATTTCAGTGAGCACTAGAAACAGGTGGGAGCAAGTCATTTCTGCTCTCAGAAGGCCCATGCTGCAGAGGGGCAGATGATGACACTGAGTTCTGCTTCAGCATGGTATGTGCTGTGATTCCACATGTCTTTGATAGAATGGATACTTGTGGTGAGGGCCTGTGGATTGGAGGGCTGGATTCCCTGCCTCTCGAGAGAAAGCAGCAGCACAGAATTTAGCCTAGAATGGATCTGGGAGTGGCCCCCATGGCATCTGCATGTGGCAGTTTGGACCTTGACTGTGATCCTAGGAGTCCAGACTGCCGGAAGTTCTTTCTTTCATGAATTGCTTCTTGGTGAAATTTCCCATTGGTCTAAGATCTTAGAGCAGGGGTCTGTCCTTTTTTTGTTCTTCAATCATGAATGCTATTAACAAGTTATTTGTGGTTCCTGGCCACCTTAAGTTGGCTTTGCCAATCTTGATCACTGAAGGAAGAAAGTTGGGTGATTAGTGGACACCATTTGTCTCCCACTTTCATGTGTCCTAGAGTGAGTCTCAATGTGTGCAGGACTGTGTAGATACACATGAACCTCAGCCACTTTGGATAAAGCCCAGTGTGGACCAGGACCTTCTGCAAATCTTTGACCACTGTGGAAGATGAAGAGGAATTGAAGGGCTGGGCCATGTGAGGGCTTGGGTAGGTACTGGAAGTGGGGAGTGGACCTTTGCTTCCACTGAGGGCTATGATTGGAGCAATAAGGATTCCAGGAAATATGACTTCTTATAGATGTAGGAGGACACTCAGAAAAGGATGAGGCACCAGCCATCCAAATTGTTTTTTTAAGGGTACAAGTAATACAGAATTTCAAAAAAAAAATAAAAAGTAAGAGATCACTAGTTAATAGATTACATATTGTCATCTTAGAAATAGTTGTTCAAGTTACAAAATTAAAGCATACAAAGTGGACATTCAAACTGAGGATTCAAACAGTTGAGTTCAATGATCCAACAAAAACTTAGTAATATGGTTATCTGTCTTACACACCTAAACACACTTGCAATTGTATCATTTAAAACACTTTCTTTTCCTCTCTTTTTTACAATAACATTTACACATTTTGGGTTTTATTACTCCCACGGTTCTTATTACTTTTTTTTGGAAGAGAGTAAAACCAAATGTGACAAAACAGGGCAGTCAGTCAAAACAAAGGATGGACGTAGCACATCATGTAAAAACAGAATACAAGGTAATCAACAATGGTTAGCATAATGCCTCTAGCATAATGCCTCTTAAAAAGAATTGCCTATATCATCAGATATAACAAAATTGAACAAAACAGTACAGAACAAAACCAATAAAACCTAAACATTGGAGACATTACAGGACTTCAAAAGAAGGTAGTAGTCAAACCAGAATGGGCATAATAGTGAATCTTATTGTCTTCAAAGTAGTTGCCTATACCCTTAAACTTGATGCTATAAAACCGAACAGAATAGAGTAAAATCAGTCAAAACAAGATGGTGAGAACAATGCAGGGCTTCAAATCAGTTAATAGGAAATCAGAAAGGTACTATAATATATCCTGTTAATTTTTTTTAAAAAATTCCCTTAATTAAAAAATAAAAAAGTAAATAAATTTAGAAAGGGGGGAGATTGAGGTAAAAGAGGACATAACAACATAACAATACAGGTTAGAGCAGAACAATTTAAGCACCATAGTGTTTCACCACAAGATAACCTGACTTAATAGTAGTTACCATAGTGTCTCTTTCCTTGAAATATTTGAGTATAACTTTGTATACTGTAGCATCAAACATAACAAGACTGTGTAAAACCATTCAAGAGAATGAACAAACAAGAATTAAGGGACAGAAGCAATTACACATCACACTGTGTCTGTGATCACCTTTATGGTCTTTACAGGGGATATAGGGTACAAAGAAGTGACCAGGGACCTCTCTTATGAAGACTTGAAGGGGAGAAGCAGAGTTCAGAACATTGTTCCATAAGCCAAGGATAGAGAAGAAGCAAGGACAAGTGTGTTATAAGATGGCTTTGGGTGAGAGATAATTCAAAACTTTCAAGCACCAGTCAGCCATCTAACAGGGATATAGTAACACCACTCAGGCTGCTTTACCTAGTCTGGTGAGGTGTCTTCAGAACTCTTTCCAATATGCACCTTCCATACACAAAGTGATTTTACTTTCCAGATGACAAATATTCTTGGTAATTTGCCATTATCCATGAGGTCTGTAGCAGCCCATTGTACGCAGATGGTTCTCACTCTCTGCCCGTCTCTGTCTCTCTCACTCTCTCCTTTAAATGGCTTTGTTTTCTACTAGTTTCCCCTTTATTACAGTCATACATAATTCTACTTTCAGAATCTACTGCATTGTTGCTATGCCAAGATTTTTGTGAAATTCTCCTGTTTCATAAAATCTCTCTCTTTATGTATCATTTCAGAGGACACCCCTGAAGTTGCTGCCATTTGGTTATGACCTCATGCCTCACTCACACAATGTGACTGAATTCATTTTCCTGGGATTTTCTTCCAGTCAGCAGGTGCAAAAGCTTAGCTTTGTGATATTTCTGCTCTTGTATATTGCAATCGTGCTGGGGAATTTCCTCCTCATACTCACTGTTATGAGCAGCACAAGTCTTGGTTCTCCCATGTACTTCTTCCTCAGCTGCCTGTCCCTGGTGGAGATCTGCTACTCATCCACCACCGCCCCCAAACTCATCTCGGATCTGCTGGCTGACAGGAAAGCCATCTCAGTGGCAGGCTGCTTCACACAGCTTTTCTTCATGCATTTCTTTGGTGGTGCTGAGATTTTCCTTCTGACAGTGATGGCCTATGATCGCTACGTAGCCATCTGCAAACCTCTGCACTACACCACTATCATGAACCAGCGGGTGTGTGCTGTCCTGGTGGGGGCAGCATGGGTGGGAGGCTTTCTGCATTCTATTGCCCAGATTCTTCTCATCTTCCAGTTGCCCTTCTGTGGCCCCAATGTCATTGACCACTATTTCTGTGACCTGCTGCCCGTGCTCAAACTCGCCTGCTCAGATACTTTCCTCGTTGGTCTCCTGATTGTTGCCAATGGGGGCACACTGTCTGTGATCAGCTTTGTGTTCCTGTTAGCATCCTATGTTGTCATCTTGGTCCATCTGAGGACCCAGAGCTATGAGGGGCAGTGCAAAGCCCTCTCCACCTGCGCATCTCATATCACTGTGGTGACCTTGTTCTTTGTACCTTGCATCTTCATCTATGGGAGGCCTTTTGCCACTCTGCCAGTGGATAAGCTGATAGCCGTGTTCTACACTGTGATAACCCCACTCCTCAACCCTGTCATCTACTCACTGAGAAATGCTGAAGTGAAGAAGGCCATGGAGCACCTGTGGATCAGGACTGTGAAGCTCATGACAGACCGAGGCTGAATGTTGATTTATGTTCTTGGGTTGAAATGATTTGTAGTCCAAACTGAGGGGCCCCATGGATATGGAAAGTTCTCAGGAATCATTTGTTCTAGTGGTATTCTATCTTGGGTACACCTTTAAACATTTCATTTTAATCATTTGTGAATTATGTCTTTATAGTTGTATTGCAACAAATCTAATCATTTTAGATTGTTTATAACTTTTACTACACTAAATTAGAGTATGTTAAATTCATTTTTCCTTTATTGGAGACAAGGTCTTGCCATATAGTTCAACCTGATGTCACTATGTATACCCCTGAAACCTGGAACTCATGGGAATTCTCTTGCCTCAGCCTACCAACTGCTGGGATTACAGGGATACACCACTATACCAGGCAATATCTTGTGTTTTTAAATTTACTTATTTATTTATATTATTTTTTTATTTTATTTTAAAAAAAGGAGATTAAGATAAAAGAGGACATAACAACACAGGTCAGAACAGAACAATTTAAACAACATAGTGTTAAGTAACCTGATTTTAAGGGCTGGGGATTTAGCTCAGCGGCATAAACACCTGCCTTGCAAGCAGGCGGTCGCGAGTTCGATCCCTGGTACCGACAAAAATGAAAAAGACAAAAAAAAAAAAAAATTTAAACAACATAGTGTTTCACAACAAGATAAACCAACATAACATAATTACCATAGTGTCTCTTTTTGTTTTGTTTTGTTTTGTTTTGTTTTGTCTTTTTTTGAGATGAGGTCTCGCTATGCAGTTCAGGCTGGCCTTGTGCTCACTTTGTAGCCCAGGCTGGTCTCGAACTCATAAGGATCCTCCTTCCTCAGTCTCCCCAGTGCTGGGATTACATGCATGAGCCACCATGCCTGGCTATCTGCGGTACTGGGGATTGAACTCATGACTTCATGCTTGCCAGGCAGGCGCTTATGCCGCTGAGCTAAATCCCTGGCCCATTGTCTCTTTTCTTGAAATATTTGAGTATACTTTCCTATACTATAGCATCAAACATAACAAGACAGTGTAAAACCATTCAGGAGAATGAAAGTGTTAAGGAGTATTTAGAATCAAATAACAGAAAATGAACAATTCTTTATTATCCCCTTGTATATAAAAATTTTTTGACAGTGTCACATATAATAAAGTCTAATAAGATACAAACTGATAAAACCTATGGAGACAGAAGAACAAAAGCTTGATGGGACTTCAAAACAAATTGATATTAAATCAGCACTAATATTATAATGTCTTGTTTTTTTTCAAAATAACTGTGCATACCATCACAGACAATAGAATCAAACATCCCAGAATAAAACCATTCCAATTAATGAATGAAAACATTATAAGGCTTCAAAGCACTATAATGGGGAATTATGATTGCCACATACTTTTATGTATTCTTACCATTCCTTACACTAGGGAAACTATTCAGTACTTATACATGTGAGTTTGAATTATCTCACTTATAAATGTGGTCTCAAGCTGTGCCCATTTATTTATAAATATCTCGATGTGATCATTCTTTATAGCTGAGTAGCACTACATTGTATAAAAATATCACGTCTTTTTTATCCATTCCTCATGGATAAAATTACCAATTCCCCATGTCCTGATAGACACTTAGATTGCTTCCAAGATGTGGCTATTACAAATTGTGCTGCTATAAACATGGGTGCACATATATCACTGAGGTATGATGTTTTCAGTTCTTCTGGGAATATGCCCAGATGTGGAAGAGCTGAGTCGAATGGGACTTACAATTCCAGTTTTTTGAGGGATCTCCAGACTGACCTCTACAATTGCTACCTCCGTCTACACTCCCACTAACAGTGCAGGAGAGTACCTTTATTCCCACCACCTCTCCAGCATTTGTTGTTGGTAGTTTTCTTGATCCTGGCCATTCCTTCAGGAGTGAGATGAAATCTCAGTGTGGTTTAATTTGCATTTCTCTAATGAGTAATGATGATGAACATTTTTTCATGTATTTATTTGCCATTTGTATTTCTTCCTCTGAGAATCGTGTATTTATCTCAGATGTCCATTTTTGGATTGGATCTTTAAACTTTTGGGGTCTGATTTTTTAAAATTCTTTATATGCTTTAGACAGAAGTCCTTTGTCTGAGCGGCAGTTCACTAAGATTTTTTCCCAGTTCATGGGTTTTATTTTCACTATTCTGGAGATTTCTTTTGGCATACAGAAACTTCTTATTCTTACGTCTTATTATAAGACGTAATCCTAGTTGTTGATTCTGGGAAGTATTTCCCATGTGGTTTGATTCCTGTTTATGAATTCTCTACCTACCCCTATGTCTTCAAGGTTTCTACCCAATTTGCCTTCCAATAGATTTAGTGTTTCTGTTTTAACATTCAGATCTTTGATCCATTTAGATTTTAATTTAGTATATGGTGATAGACATGGGTGTAATTTTAGTTTTCAGCATGTGGAGAGCCCGGTTTTCCAACAACATTTATTAAAGATGCTGTCATTCTTCCAGTGAACGTGTTTGCCCCTTTTATAAAAAATAAGGTGGTTGAGTGTGTTTGTACTTGTGGTTGTATCTTCTAGTTTATTCCATTGATCTTTGGCTCTGTTTTGATTCCAGTATAATGTTGATTGTACTACGGTTGCTTTCAAGTCAGGGATTGTGATGCTTCCTAACTTGCCTTTGCTGCTTAGAACTGTCTTTGCTATTCTATGTCTCTTCTCACTCCAGATGAATTTTAGGAGTGGTTGCTCTAGACCTATGAGGTATGTTGTTGGTATTTTTATTGGGATTGCATTGAATCTGTATAACAGTTTTGGGAGAATGGCCATTTTCACAATATTTATTCTTCCTATCCATGAGCAAGGGATGTCTTTCCATTTTCTGAGATCCTCTTCAATTTCTTTTTTCAGTGTATTATAATTTCTCCTATATAGGTCTTTCACTTCTTTTTAAAATTTTTTTATTGTAAAGAGATTAAGACAAAACAGATCATAAAAGAAAAGTTCAGAACAGAACAATGTAAGCAGCACAGTATTTCACCAGAAGACAACCCATAATTAACAGTAACTATCATGATGTCTCTTTCTTTGAAATAGTTGAGTAATAACTTCTTATACAATAGTACCAAACATAACAAAATAGTATGAAAACATTCAAGAGAATGAGAGTATTACAGGGCTTTCAGAACCAAATACCAGAGAGCAAATGATGGCTCCTATATTATCTCATTTTCCATAGGAAATTTGTTTATACTTTACACCTAATACAATCCAGTAAGGTACAACATGATAGAGCCAATTTAAACAAAAGAGCAAGAGCATGATAGGACTTCAGAGTAAGATGATATTATATCAGTACTGCCTATTATAATGACTTGTTTCCCTCAAATTAGCTGTTCATACCATCACAGATAATAAAATAAGAAAAACAGGACAAACACATTACAACTGTGATCATTATAAGGTTTTGAAATAATGTAATGGGGAATCATGATTATCCTAACCTCTTATGTACTCTTACTATTTCTTACACTAGGGAAACTACATGGTATTTATGCATGTGAATTTGATTTATTTCACTTATGAATATGGTCTCAAGTTGCGCCCATTTATTAGTAAATATTTCAATGTGATCATTCTCTATAACTGAGTAGTACTCCATTGTATAAAAACACCACATCTTTTTTTATCCATTCTTCAGTTGATGAACACTTAGGTTGTTTCCAAGATGTGGCTATTAAAAATTGTGCTGATATAAACATAGGTGGACATATATCACTGTGTTATGATGTTTTCATTTCTTCTGGGAATATGCCCAGATGTGGAAGAGCTGGGTGGAATGGGACTTCCAGTCCCAGATTTTTGAGGAATCTCCAGACTGACCTCCATAGTGGTTGCACCAGTCTACACTCCCACCAACAGTGCAGGACAGTTCCTTTTTCCCCACATCCTCTCCAGTCATTTATTGTTGGTAGTTTTCTTGATCCTGGCCATTCTTTCTGGAGTGAGATGGAATCTCGGTATTGTTTTAATTTGCATTTCTCTAATGAGTAACGATGATGAACATTTTTTCTTGTATTTATTTGCCAATTGTATTTCTTTATCTGAGAACTGTGTATTGATATCAGATGCCCATTTTTGGATTAGGTTCTTGAGTTTCAGGGATCTGATTTTTTAAAATTCTTTATATGTTTTAGACAGAAGTCCTTTGTTTGAGGGTAAGTTCACTAAGATTTTTTCCCAGTTTGTGGGTTTTTTTTCACTATGCTGGAGATTTGTTTGGACATGCAGAAACTTTTTAATAAGATGTGATCCCAGTTATTGATCTTGGGAAGTAGTTCCTGTGCAGTGTGATTCTTGTTCAAGAATTCTCTTCCTACCCTTATGTCTTCAAGAGGTTTACCTAATTTGTCTTCCAACGGATTTAGTGTTTCTGTTTTAATATTCAGATCTTTGATCCATTTAGATTTTAGTTTAGTATATGGTGATAGATGTGGGTATAGTTTTAATTTTCAGTATATGGAGAGCCCATTTATTAAAGAGATTGTCCTTTTTCCAGTGAACGTGTTTGGCCTCTTTATTAAAGATAAGGCGGTTGAGTGTGTTTGTAGTTGTGGTTGTATCTTCTAGTCTGTTCCATTTATCTTCAGATCTATTTTTATTCAAGTACTATGTTGATTTTGTTACAGTAGCTTTGTAGTATAATTTCAAGTCAGGATTGTGATGCCTCCTACCTTGCCTTCGCTACTTAGAATTGCCTTTGCTATTCTAGGTCTCTTTTGGTTCCAGATAAATTTTAGGAGTGCTTTCTCTACATCTATGACATATGTTGATGGTATTTTCATTAGAATTGCATTGAATCTGTATAACAGTTTTGGGTGAATGGCCATTTTCACAATATTTATTCTCCCTATCCGTGAACAAGGAATGTCTTTCCATATTGTGGGATTTTCTATGATTTCTTTTCTCAGGATATTAAAGTTTTCCCTGTATATTTCCTAAGTATTTCATTTTTTGA